CTTATGTTAGTAAACTTTGTTATTTTCAAAATGAATCTTGACTGTGAATGAGTTTTTATTTTTGGTATACAACCACATTTTTTAAATTTCAAGTCCTGTGCGAAAATCATAATAGAAGAAAAATAAATTCTTTTGCATTTGGTGGTGCGCACAACTCCTTCCTAAGTTGGAAAAAGTATTTGGCATACAAGGACTTTCGTTTGTTCTGCCTTTTGAGCTGACCAATAGAATTCTGGGTGCAGGACACTTCAATTTTGACACCTACCCAAGTTCGTCATAAAATTTGCCACTGCTCATATTCGTTTCATTTATGAAGAAAAATGTATGATTAATCAAACTCCTAGTCTGTAAGGAACTCCATCTAAGCCTTATGAAGAGATCTAAGAACGGTTGTTCTCTCTAGACCTTGCTTAAAGGATCAATATAATTTCCGACCAATTTTCTATCATGGGCATTGTGTGATCTTCGATTACGAGTGTCTTTCGAGAAACGGGTGAAAGGCGACCCGAGACGAGAAATTAGGCTTCGTGACTTTAGTTTAATGATATACAATCACTGAAAAAATGAATGACCCACTGATTCTGATTTAGTTACAGCTAACACTGCAACTCTGCAAACTCAAATTTACCTAAAATGCAATTCTGCAAACAGATTTGCATTTTAGGTAAATTTGAAGGAATCGCACCAAATTTGGAAAAAACCTTGGCACCAAATTGCTACTTAAATTTGCGTGACATTTAATTCTCAGCTCAAAGAGAAAATAATTTTGAATGAGCTGGTGACATGGCGAATGAAGTTCTGTAGAGAATTAAAAAAGTTCGAAGTATGTAAATTACTTGATTAAATATAATAACAATTGGAAAAATGAGCGTTTGGAATATCATGGAAAATAATGTGAGAATCTAATGTAAATATCATATAGAATTATGCAAAAGCTTCATTTGAACAAAATTCAAGTCAAGCAAACGAAAATAAAAACAACAGAAACAACTAGTTTAACCCTGCCTAATCTCATCTTTCAAAATTTGATAGGAGATCTTCTTAGTAGCGCTAGAAGTTATGTCCAGTCAAATTAGTGTTCGGATCAGTACAACGTAACCATAATGTCTATGTTTATTTCATTAAATTTCAATTACAGCAATTGCCATTTAGTACTCGGACCATGAAAATCTCAAATCAAGAAATGCTGACGGATCTATCGCCTCTTACTGGTGTGTGGGAACATAATTCTTTTGGGAGCCCAACAATACAACAAGCATTACTTCTGACATCGTCGCTTGGCCAAAGTATTCATGTATAATGGGCAAAAAAGGATTAGAGAAGAAGGAGAATCAAATGTCATCTAGAAATCTTGTCTGGATACCATTTTTACGGCATTCACCATCTTTTCTTCAAATTCACCGAAAGTATGATAATTGATCAGGAAACAGTTATTAATCTTTAAGTCCTTTGTGCCTCTCACATCAGTATCGCTTGAAGATCATCATCGCCTATCTAAGGTCAGCATAAATGTTGTTTCCATGTTTTTT